AAATCATTTATTTAGTTTCACCGCCCAAAATACAACAAAGGAATCAACGGGTGGCATTAACCTCAAACAATGATCATAACAGTGCTTATAACATACGAGGGCAAACATATCGGGGATAATTTGTTTTCATGCGATATGAACCGGGTAAAATATCACTTTGTCATGGTGACATGACATCATGAACGATGTTATGACGTCACGTTGCTTCCAAGAAGCCGCCTTCTAAATACAACGATGACGGGGAGCCTGCCTTTGTTGTAAAGTAGATTATCGCGTAATTTCCTCAATAAAAGACTTCGGTAATAAATAGAAAAGTATATTCGTGACCATATCATGCTATGTTAACGACCTAAATATCGGCATATACCTTCTCTGGTTCCGAAAATACCAAGATTTAGGCAGTTGTGTTGTAAACTCATATTTATCTTATTTAAGACTTGCCGCCATCATTAACATTTGAAACAGATACAAAATATTCATTTAATGTTTGAGCTTTATCTAAATCTGTAAAAACTGAAGGTATCCCAGAATCATCAGTGACAAGAAGGGGAATGGGTCCCGATGAAGTAGTAACAACCTGATTGAGTAGACTGAGGTGATAAATAGTTATCAAAAATAGATTAAAAGTTTCCCTGGGATATTCTTTTCAGATTATTTACTTTATCCCTTTGCTTTTTGTATTTAAATACCTCAGAAGTATTCAGAGATCGAAATGCTTTTTTCCTTAGACGTTCTCTTTTCTTTTAAGTATGTTACGAGGGGCGTTGAAAAAGTAGTAAAACTAACTACATGTATATTCTCGATGTCCAATGTTTGACAAAAGCTTCCATTTTATTTTGAAGGAATCATTAGCAAAGTCATATCCAAAGTTTCATGTGGGTAATGTGGTTAACGAGATATTAGTCATCACAACATTGGGGTATAATGTTTCTTGCAAATTTGCAGAAAATGGAAAACGATCTGCCATTTGGTATCTAGTAATAGTAATAGTCCGCTTATATGGCGCTCACATCCAGGCACATTGCCTGCTCACGGCGCTGCGTACATTACTATCCCCGATCATAGGACACTAATGTAGTTTCCGATACTTTTTCAACTCCCTTGGGAATGTACAGCCATGCTGCTTGTTAAGCGCAATGAACTAAACACTCACATTGCCAGCACATACTCACGGGTACCCATTTTACAGCTGGGTGAACTGAGACAGTGTAGATCTAAAGTATCTTTAAATGTGCCCATCTCGGGACCCGAACCTCGGTGCCTCCTCGAAACCGGGCCTTCAGCGTGATAGGCAGACGCCTTACCACTGCACTATTGCGCTATCTCCTGGATAATGGTTTGCCCTCAGATAATATCAGATAAAATATGTTCAGCATTCCCGTCATCATCAACATTCAAAGATTTGGATTGCTTGATTTATATTTAGACGGGGACTGGTTTTTGTAGGGCACCCTCATTTTAATTTTTCAAAAACATTGTGTCCAGATATACAATATATTGAGAGCTTACACTTGTGTGACTATTCAGTATTTTGTTTGAACCCTTGACATCATGAAAACTTTAAGATGAGTTATATCCTTATGATGACGTCAACTGAAAGGGGGTGGGTAGTGTCTCCAATACAAGCTCTTTCAGTAAACATGAAGGGGGAGTCATTTGAACAAGCGATTGTAGTTTCAAATTGCTGTTTTGTGCAGTTTAATAGCCGATTCTAGCCGACTTCTACCAATCTCAAACATACAAAAATGTTTCTTGCATATTTTGTTTCCTGAAGTTTATGATGCATTTTATTGCAGAAATTACGTTTTTGGGGAGTACCAAGCCAAGATACAAAGTCACACAAAATGGGGATCGTGAGGCTGAAACATAGCAAAACCAATTTGCTTGAGGCTGACAGATAAGATGTAGAAAAATAAAACATAAAAACAGCTGCATTTGTATCATATTCTAGGTGAGGCTGACTACTTTTTGAACGTCCCCGTACATATACCCGTTAGAACACCCATCCACCCCTCCGACTCTACATGTATGTTAGTGTGTTAGATATACCCATTCCACTCTCTTGGAAACTCTACAGTTACGTCTTGGAGTCACTGGCGATGCGTTATCATGGTTTCAATCGTATCTCACAGGACGCAAGCAATCAGTTATCATTGATGGGGTAAGGTCTGAGAGCAGAGAATTAAGGTTTGGAGTGCCACAAGTCTCAGTCCTAGGCCCAATCCTGTTCACTGTATATACCATACCCGTTGGTGATATAGCGCGAGCCCACAATCTTAGTTATCATATCTATGCTGATGACACTCAGCTATATCTCGGATTCAAGCCAAAAACTGAATCTTCTGTACAGAATACCCTGCAGGCAATAACAAATTGCATAGCTGAGATCAAATGTTGGATGAACAGTAATTTTCGGAAACTGAACGATGACAAAACTGAGATTCTCATCATCCCTGGAGTTCAAATTGGAGAAACGTTTGCTCAACCAGAAAGCCATGCTCGAAATCTAGGTGTCATCTTGGACGCAACATTAAGCATGGAAAATCACGTCAGTAACATCTGCAAATCTGCTTATTACCACCTAAGGAACACCGGACACATAGCAGGTACATGGACACACCATCAGTAAAATGCCTAACCCATGCATTTGTGACATCACGTCTGGACTACTGCAACAGTCTACTCTATGGAATACAGAAGCAGTACATGGACAAGTTATGTACAGCGTGTTCAAAACACAGCTGCCATGCTCGTAACACGCACACATATGTATGTGCACATAACACCTTGTTCTTGTGTTTGTTTACAAGCCCATTAAAGGGCTTGCTCCATTCTATCTCCAGGAACTAGTCAACCTCCACAAGCCTGGAAGCTCACTCTGATCAGCTAGTCAGCAAAGCTTAGATATTCCATTTGTCCGAACCACAACATACGGGGACAGATCATTTAGCAGAGCGGGTGCTGTACTCTGGAATTGATTACCTGAAAATGTCAGAAAATCGGAAAATATCAACAGTTTCCGATCTTGTCTCAAAACCATCCTCTTCAGCCGAGCATTCGACTAAGCGCACATGAGCAGGACTCTGGATATGTAGCGCTATACAAATGTCTAATTTGATTTGATTTGATTTGGTTAAAAACCCAACCCCACCCCACCACCACTTTATATGTATACATATCAAATTTATATTTTGTGAACGTCTACAGTTTGCCCTACAACACCAAAACTGGCGATACAGGCAATGGAGAGCTGTTCTGTTCACAGATGAGAGTCGGCACTGCGTATCAACTGCAGATGGCAGAACAAGAATATGGCTACGACGTGGCCAGCGTTGCTCAGACCAATGTGTTATGGAAAGAGACTCATGGGGAAGTGCAAGCATCATGGTGCATTAACATTGCCTTATCAATAAATATAATTGTATTTTGAAATTAAAAATACACCTTCACATACTCATGAAGCCATGTCATCGACCTTAAGGCCATATTCACAATCTGCACGTGCATTTACGTTTCCATTGGCATCATGATACACACTCACTCATGTGCTTTTGTAATGAGAGCAGCACACACATTCGTGACCAACTCGTGTTATACCGGGACAAGCCGAATAGCGAAAGAAGAGTTACGGAAAGGGGTGAGTGGTGACGAATGCAGCGCACACTGATTGTGTAGCTTTCAGGTTTCATAAATCTTCGCTTTTGTATGCTGTAAATAACGTTTTGGCAGGGCCGCTTCTTGCTTATAATCAGCGTCAACGCTCCATAGGCATGCTGTAAACATGAAAGGTGCAAAAAAAGATGCCAGTCATTTTAATCTTCATCGAAACACGCCCCGTGAAGATCCGGGATGGAATTGAATTTCAGTAACCCATGCTTGTCGTAAGAGGCGACTTACGGGATCGGGTGGTAAGGTTCGCTGACATGACTGACACATGTAATTGTTTCCCAGTTGCGTGGATCGATGCGCATGCTGTTGATGACTGGATTGTCTGGTCCAGACTCGATTATTTACAGACCGCCGCCATATAGCTGGAATATTGCTGGGAGGGGCGTACTCATCACGCACTCATCGAAACACCATATTATCTACAGCTGGACCGCAATATTTACTTGTTACAGAGTTATTGATGTTTAAAATAACGTATATATTCGGTTGGTGCATCTGACGGTTGGGGGGTTGCACACTATTGAGAAAAGGAGGGGTGCACACCGAGTTTCAATTGTCATTTAACAAGCATTCGGGGGTTGTAGGTGTAGGTGCGCACCCTGCACACCCCACCTTTGGATCCGCCTATGAACACACGTTGGTATTTTGTATCTGAGTGAGTGAATATGTTATACCCCGCATTTAGTAATATTCTAGCAATATCAGGGCGGGGGACCCCTGAAATAAGTTTCACACATTTTACCCATGTGGAGAATCAAATCCCGGGTTTTCCCCTGATGAGCGAACGCTTTAACCACTTGGCTTTCCCAACCGGCCTCGTGTGAATCTCATCAGGGTAGAGGGTGAACTTATGGTAAGGCCATTGTCCGTCGTCTTTCTGGATATCAACCTTTAACGACGAGTAATCTAACCAAAATAGGCTGAAATGGTGTAAGTTTGTTATGTAAACCAAAGAGAAATTGAAAATATGCAGGTGTTCTCATATATACTGACCAAATAAAATTTGGCATCATGAATATTTTGGGAATATTTTTTTTAATAAAATTACTAAATCAACATTCCCCAAAATACTCACAATCTTCAACTTTTAACTTGGATAACTTTTGTTCAGCTTGTGTTTTTCTTTAATGCCTACACCTTATGATTATGGATTCCAACAGCAAGCCAACCATAAACTTACTGGAAATGATCACCTTGTTTATTGTGATTATAATTCATTAATACTATTACATTACATTACATTATTACATTTACACAAATATACTCGTACCACTGCAAGGAAGGGATAACAGGGCGGCCAGAGTTACTTCCCTTCACTAGGTCAACGGATGGGTGTCCGAGTGGGGTAGTAGCTAATACCCGTCCATCAACAAAGATGGCTACTGTACCCGAGGAGTGTAAACTTTCCTACAACTTCTTGGGAAGGTCTGGCCTGAACGCCGCCAACATGTGTCTCGGCACGGGGACGTTTGGGAATCCTGGGGTGAGTCGTGGAGTCGCACGTGTTTTCCTGTCGGAGCCGATTTGTCATGACATTTGCCCAAAGCTCTCGTGAGGGTCTTGATAGGGGTGACACAAGTCAGTAGTCAATGTAACTTAATTAGAAGGTATAGTATAAATGCCTCGAACCGATTTTGTCGGTCATTTTTGTGGTCAGATTATTTGAAAGGTGTGTGTCTTAAATAGATGGTATTTTGTAAGTGACAACTTACAAGCAGTGTATAATCGACATTCATGTTACCCTTTTACGATTAATATACATCTGAAGAATGACAAGATTACGATAGTTTATTGTAGCTGTTTCTGCTAGTATATCACATAAAGAACCTCTGTACATAGATGTACATAGATCTATAGTCAGGTTAAAGTCAAGACAGGTGAAACTGAAAAGGAAAATTTTATAATGATGTACATTAATTAGCAAACCGTGTGCTATATAAGTCATTAGGGACAGTTCATAATTTATGGCTGGGGGGGGGGGGATTTTTATGGAGAAACATGTACAATGTGAATGACCCCCCCTAAAATTTAAGTACAAAGTAAGTGACCCCACTGCATGTCATGTACAAAGGCAATGACCCCCATTCCCCCTTTCCGTTTTTAAGGCATAATTCTTGAATATTTCTTGAATATTTGCCGACCTAGATACATGTGTAAAAAATTGATGACCACCCTACCTCCCCAGCTTAAAATCTTCAACATCTCTCTCTCTCTCTCTCTCTCTCTCTCTCTCTCTCTCTCTCTCTCTCTCTCTCTCTCTCTCTCTCTCTCTCTCTCTCTCTCTCTCTCTCTCTCTCTCTCTCTCTCTCTCTCTCTCTCTCTCACACACACACACATAACCATAAATTACTGTGTATAATCATTTGTCATGCGCAACATCTCAGCACAGAATCTAGTGATTTTAGATTTAAATAAAACAACATGTGTTGTGCGTGCGTGCGTATGTATATATATGTGTGTACGTGCGTGCGTGCGTGCGTGCGTGCGTGCGTGTGTACATATATAAGAGAGAGGGAGAGAGATAGATAGAGACAGACAGAGAGAGAGTGCATTAGATATAATAAATGCTGAGTCCGGAATCTGCTCCATGGGATAAGCGAGTTATTTTCTGGCGTTAGCCATTTTTAACAATTACGGAAACGAGTTCATCGCTTGCATGTATTTTTATGTAGCTGAGTGAGTATGATTTCTCGCCGCTTTTAGCAATGTTCCAGTAGTTTCACGGGAGGGGACACCAGAAATTATCTTCACAAATTGTACCCATGTGTGGAATCGAACCTGTGTCTTCAGCGTGACGAGCGAACGCTTTAGCTACTAGGCTACGCCACAGCCTCTCATCTGACAAAACCTTCTGTGGGGATGTCTTCATACCTTCATCTCCGAGTCCATGTTTAATTTGATTTAATGAGATATGTTCAGAATATATATAGTTGCCTGACTGTAAACCTTCAAGACTGTGTGTGACCCGTGAAGATATGAGTTAGAATTAATCTTCCGTAACCCATTCTTGTAGTAAGAGGCGACTAACGGGATCGGGTGGTTAGGCTCGCTGACTTGGCTGACTGACACATGTTATCGTATCCCAATTGCGATCGATGCTCATGATGTTAATCACTGGGTTGTCTGGTCCAGGCTAGATTATTATATACCGCTGCCATATAGGTGGAATATTCAAAACTGTGACACATTCAATTTTGTAAACCTAACACAAACCACCACTCACGCACACAATGCTGTTATTCAGGGTAGCAGACCCAGTCAGGCCTCAGAGGAATACTCCCACCAGCTACTTGACCGCTACGTCCAGTGGGGAGGGAACTTCATCGACACTGCGGACGTTTACTCGCAAGGATTGTCAGAGAAGTTCCTCGGATCCTGGTTAACAAAGTATGTTATGCATCTTCATATTACCAATCATATCAGACTCTAGTATAACTTGAAAGGATTATCTGTGCGAGAGTAAAAAATGAATCCAGCTACGTAGAGGCCTTTCTGAGACCGGTAGTATTATTCGTCCATAGGAATGCCTCAACGTAGAGGACCTTTTTTGATCGGTAGTATATAATATTATTCGTCAAAAGGAATGCCTCAACGTAGAGGACCTTCTTGCATCGGTAGTATTATTTGTCCATAGGAAAGTTTCAGCGTAAAGGACCTTCTTGGATCGGTAGTATATAATTATATTTGTCTATACGAATGCCTCAACGTAGAGGACCTTCATAGCTCGGTAGTATATAAAATCATTTGTCCATAGGAATGCCTGCACGTAGAGGACCTTCGTGGGTCGGTAGTATATAATATCATTTGTCCATAGGTTATGCCTCGACATAGAGGACCTTCTTAGATCGTTAGTATATGATATCATTTGTCCACAGGTTATGCCTCCAAGTAGAGGACCTTCTTAGATCGGTAGTTTTATTCGTCCAGAGAAATGCCTCGATGCAGAGGACCTTTATGGATCGGTAGTATATAATATTATTCGTCCATAGGAATGCCTCAACGCAGAGAACCTTAATGGATCGGTAGTATTATTATAGAAATGTCTGAATGCAGAGGACCTTCACTGACCAGTATTACTATTCATCTATAGGCATGCCTCAATGTAGAGGACTTTCATTGACCAGTAGTACTATGCATCTATAGGAATGCCTTAATGTAGAGGACTTTCACTGACCAGTAGTACTATTCATCTATAGGAATGCCTCAATGTAGAGGACTTTCATTGACCAGTTGTACTATTCATCTATAGGAATGCCTCAATGTAGAGGACCTTCATTGACCAGTAGTACTACTCATCTATAGGAATGCCTCAATGTAGAGGACCTTCATTGACCAGTAGTACTACTCATCTATAGGCATGCCTCAATGTAGAGGACTTTCATTGACCAGTAGTACTACTCATCTATAGGCATGCCTCAATGTAGAGGACTTTCATTGACCAGTAGTACTACTCATCTATAGGAATGCCTCAATGTAGAGGACCTTCATTGACCAGTAGTTCTACTCATCTATAGGAATGCCTCAATGTAGAGGACGTTCATTGACCAGTAGTACTACTCATCTATAGGCATGCCTCAATGTAGAGGACTTTCATTGACCAGTAGTACTACTCATCTATAGGAATGCCTCAATGTAGAGGACCTTCATTGACCAGTAGTACTACTCATCTATAGGAATGCCTCAATGTAGAGGACTTTCATTGACCAGTAGTACTACTCATCTATAGGAATGCCTCAATGTAGAGGACCTTCATTGACCAGTAGTACTATTCATCTATAGGAATGCCTCAATGTAGAGGACCTTCATTGACCAGTAGTACTACTCATCTATAGGAATGCCTCAATGTAGAGGACCTTCATTGACCAGTAGTACTACTCATCTATAGGGACCTTCATGCCTCAATGTAATGAGGGACCTTCATTGACCAGTAGTACTACTCATCTATAGGAATGCCTCAACGTAGAGGACCTTCATTGACCAGTAGTACTACTCATCTATAGGAATGCCTCAATGTAGAGGACCTTCATTGACCAGTAGTACTATTCATCAATAGGAATGCCTCAATGTAGAGGACCTTCATTGACCAGTAGTACTACTCATCTATAGGAATGCCTCAATGTAGAGGACCTTCATTGACCAGTTTTACTACTCATCTATAGGAATGGCTCAATGTAGAGGACCTTCATTGACCAGTAGTACTACTCATCTATAGGAATGCCTCAATGTAGAGGACTTTCACTGACCAGTAGTACTACTCATCTATAGGAATGCCTCAATGCAGATGACCTTCACTGACCAGTAGTACTATTCATCTATAGAAATGCGTAGAGGACTTTCGTGGACCTGTTGTATTATGCACAGGTAGGAATGCCTTGATGTACAGGAGCCTCATCGACTAGTAGTTTCGTACACAGGTATAATTGCTGTAATTGCTTCATCGATAATATTTATTGACACTCTGGCCACTGTCGTTGTTTCAGACAATCACGTGACCAGTTTGTTATTGCAACAAAGGTTAGAGGAATCGTGCCAAGTGGGGTTGGTCTCAGTCGTCGCCATATTGTCCAGAATATTCAGAACAGTCTCGAGAGACTCCAGACAAACTATGTGGATCTGTACCAGGTTGGTAATTAATGCAAAGCGTGTCTCTGTACCAGGTCAGTGTAAAATGCCGATCGTGGATCTGTTCCAAGTAAATGTAAAATGCAGAACGTGAATTTATACCTGATGAACGCAAGATTTTTAATGCCACACTCACAAATATTCCTGTATAACTATATACCGTTCTGTAAATAATCGAGTCCAAACAATCCAGTGATTGATATCGTGAGCATTTATGTACACAGTTGGGATACCATGACCCCCTGGCCCCCTGTCCCGTTAGTCGTCTCAAGTTGTGGTTGCTGAGGACCAATTGTAGCAGAGGTGTGGCAACAGTTGCAGATACTCTGATAAAAAGGTTTGTTGCAAAACATGTAATTGTTTCAGATGCATTGTTGGGATGATGGAACTCCCATCGAAGAAACACTCCGTACGTTCCATGACCTTGTTCGGTGTGGGAAGGTGCTCTACGTCGGTGCCAGTAACGTGGTGGGCTGGCAGCTACAGAAGATAGCATGTACCACAGACAAGCTGGGCATCAACCCCTTCATTAGCTTACAGGTAAAAGGGTTCGATTCCCCACATATGTACAATGTGGTGTCTCCCGCTTTGACATTGCTAAAATATTGCTAAACGCGGAGTCACTCACTGACTCACTTGAGACTATTGGCGACTATTTCTACTCTCTTAGGGGCGGTGGGGTAGCCTAGTGGTTAAAGCGTCACGCCGAAGACCCGGGTTCGATTCCCTACATGGGTACTATGTGTGAAGCCCATTTCTGGTTTCCCCCGATGTGATATTGCTGGAAAATTCCTAAAGGCGACGTAAAACCTTTTACTCACTCACTCTACTCTAAACATCACTGACGTCTGGCTAGAATCTGTTGATCTGTTGACGCTGGAACAACACGTGGTCAACCTTTCACTGCAGTGTCCATATCAAGAAAGGCCAGATTTACTTCTCTTTACAAGGTCAAAGGACGGGTGTCCGAGTGGGGTAGTAGCTAATACCCGTCCATCAACAAAGATGGCTACTGTACCCGAGGAGTGTAAACTTTCCTACAACTTCATGGGGAGGTCAGGGTTGAAGGTGGCCGATGTGCATTGAGTGATTGCACTGTCTACTTGCAATGGTTTGGGCTTGCTGGGTGTTAGGTTTTGGTTCGAAAAGTGTTCCTCTGTAGGCTTCGATTAACGAAGCTGTTATTTCTTCAGACGTCTGACAATAACATTATATTTCATGATCCCCTAACTTCTATGTTCACAATGTGCAACTTATGATGTTCCAGCAACAGTACAATCTGGCGTGTCGGGAGTCGGAGTTCGAACCTTTCCAAGTGTGCAAGATGGAGGGACTAGGTGTGCTGCCCTGGGGCCCCCTGAAGGGGTGAGTACCATTTACTAAGGCGTTGTTTGGTGTTGCGCCTACTGCCCCCACTACACACTACACACGCACACACATCACTCCAAAGCCCATCCTCACCCCCACCCCCAATACCAAACCCCAACCCCATCTCGAAACCATACTTCCACGAGTGGTGAACAGGCAAATAGTGCTGCCCTGAATCCAAGCGGAAATTATACTTCCGCTTTTGTAGCATAAATTGTGTTTTAATAGAAATATCTCGTGGCTTCAATTATTTTCTCGTTATTTTAATTATTTTCACGAACTTTCGAATGTACTCTAGTTAGTTTCTTTAAAAAAACAGAAAAAAATAATAGAAGCGACGAGGAAATACCCGAAATATTAACCAAAAACATTTAAGGAAATTTGAAGTAACGAGTAAAAATGTCGAAGTGGTGAATACCTAATCCAAATTTCGAGAAAATAGTTGGAATAGTGAGATAAGAATCAAAGGGACGAGACATTTTACCTAATAAGCATTCTGTGTGATGCAAGTAATCAATTGTGGTTCTAAACGCTAAAGCTATTAAACAAACACTGTTTCTCACGGAAAACGTAATATTGTGCATGTTTATGATAGTAAAATGCCAGCGATTCCTTGATCAGAGGTCTGCTGTCTGGAAAGTACACTCGGGACTCTCCCCCGACTACAGGACGCCATGCCTGGAAGAAAGAAAAGTACCCTGGGTCCTGGGAGTTGATACAGGACAACGAACAGATCTGGGCCATCGTAGATGCAGTGCGGGACATCGCCAACACACATGGTAGTAACAAGGGCCATTCAACGTGGTGGCCACATCATAGGCATAGGGCATTAACGATGAGTTGGTTTAGTACCCAGAAAAGGGCAAAAGTCTTAGAGTAAACGCCTTTGTAATGTTAATTTAGATTTTATAACATATTGTGTCTTCGCTCAGGCAAGTCCATGGCGCAGGTGTCGCTGCGGTGGCTGCTACAGAAGGATGTTGTGCCATCAGTGATCATTGGAGCCACGACCCTGGCTCAGCTGGATGACAACCTTGGAGCTGGTAGTGGATGGACCCTGTCTGCAGAGGAGGTGAGTTTGTAAAAGATGATGACAACCTTGGAGCTGGTAGTGGATGGACTCTGTCTCCAGAGGAGGTGAGTCTGTTAAATATGATGACAACCTTGGAGCTGGTAGGATGGATCTTGTCTCCAGAGGAGGCGAGTCTGTTTAAGATGATGGCAAATGGAGCTGGTAGTGGATGGACCCTTTCTGAGGTGAGTCTGTTAAAGATGATGACAACCTTGGAGCTGGTAGTAGATGGGCCCTTTCTGCAGAGGAGGTGAGTCTGTTAAAGATGATGACAAATGGAGCTGGTAGTGGATGCAGAGGAGGTGAGTCTGTAGAAGATGACCAACGGGCAGCAGGCGGTTGGATCCTCTCCTGAATCTCTTGCAATTAGATGATGGTCAAGTGATGGACGATGCGCTTGTATTTCAGATGGCACGCCTGGACAAAGTGTCTCAACCCAAGATACCCTACCCATATGAGATGGTGTGGCGCCAGAACAACAACAGGTGTAATCTGTTCCAGTCATCATACCTCGTCTCGAACTGGTCAAACTGACCACAACACAATCGCTCATGCATGACGATACTGCATACACTGTTAATTATCAAAACATCAACCACGGCCCATGCATCAAAACACAAAAAACATCAGCGTCACAGAAAAAAAACAGTCTCGCGTATTGGCCAACATAGATTCCGTTAGTCGTAAAAGCCAAAATAGCGGTGGAAACTATATACATGTAACACCAAAAGCGTTGACGATACCAGGTGTTCGCAAAAAGGGAAGTAAGCCCGCCACTTGAACATTTTTGCGTTAAAAAAATACATGTTTGTTTGTATCTAATGCCACGTTCCTGTAAACGAACAAGAAAAACAAACTCGACAGCGCATTTAGTTTTTCTTCTTGAAAATGAAAACGATATGTTAATTTTGAATAAAAGTCTATTATGTACAAGTGCAGAGACAGCACTACCCAATAAATGTTGTTCTGAATAGAACAATAAAAACTTCTATGCCGCTGGTTTTGATATATTTACTTATTCAACCTGTGTATCTTGGTTACATTCGTGCTCTTAAATATCACATCCCCAAAACACAGGGATCCCCATTTTGGCTTCATCTGACGGTAGACGATGCCAGGATGGTTGAGGTGGGTGGTTGACAGTGAAGGTAGACGATGCCAGGATGATTAAGGTAGGTGGTTGACAGTGAAGGTAGACGATGCCAGGATGGTTAAGGTGGGTGGTTGACAGTGAAGGTAGACGATGCCAGGATGGTTAAGGTAGGTGGTTGATGCTGAAGGTAGACGATGCCAGGATGGTTAAAGTAGGTGGTTGACAGTGAAAGTAGACGATGCCAGGATGGTTAAAGTGGGTAGTTGATGCTGAAGGTAGACGATGCCAGGATGATTAAGGTGGGTGGTTGACAGTGAAGGTAGACGATGCCAGGATGGTTAAGGTAGGTGGTTGACACTGAAGGTAGACGATGCCAGGATGGTTAAGGTGGGTGGTTGATGCTGAAGGTAGACGATGCCAGGATGGTTAAGGTGGGTGGTTGATGCTGAAGGTAATCGATGCCAGGATGATTAAGGTAGGTGGTTGACAGTGAAGGTAGACGATGCCAGGATGGTTAAGGTGGGTGGTTGACAGTGAAGGTAGACGATGCCAGGATGGTTAAGGTAGGTGGTTGATGCTGAAGGTAGACGATGCCAGGATGGTTAAGGTAGGTGGTTGACAGTGAAGGTAGACGACGCCAGGGTGGTTAAGGTAGGTGGTTGACAATGAAGGTAGACGATGCCAGGATGGTTAAAGTAGGTGGTTGACAGTGAAAGTAGACGATGCCAGGATGGTTAAGGTGGGTAGTTGATGCTGAAGGTAGACGATGCCAGGATGATTAAGGTGGGTGGTTGACAGTGAAGGTAGACGATGCCAGGATGGTTAAGGTAGGTGGTTGACAGTGAAGGTAGACGATGCCAGGATGGTTAAGGTGGGTGGTTGATGCTGAAGGTAGACGATGCCAGGATGGTTAAGCTAGGTGGTTGACAATGAAGGAAGTCGATGCCAGGATGGTTAAGGTAGGTGGTTGATGCTGAAGGTAGACGATGCCAGGATGGTTAAGGTGGGTGGTTGACAGTGAAGGTAGACGATGCCAGGATGGTTATGGTAGGTGGTTGACAGTGAAGGTAGACGATGCCAGGATGGTTAAGGTGGGTGGTTGATGCTGAAGGTAGACGATGCCAGGATGGTTAAGGTGGGTGGTTGATGCTGAAGGTAGACGATGCCAGGATGGTTAAGGCAGGTGGTTGATGCTGCCAGGATGAGATGGCTCCAATGTGTGGCCTGGTAGAAGGGTCCCCGATCACAGACGGCAATGGTGGATGCTCATGCTCTCAATCACAGGTTTGTCTGGACTATAACTGTTTCTTTACAGGCCATCGTATATTGCTGAAATGTTGCCATCTCTGACATAATTCAGCATTCCAATTTCCAGTAGCACCCCAGCTCTATGGCGTCTGTCAGTAAATTATCGAGTCTGGGCCAGACAATCTAGTGATCAACTGCATGCGCACCGATCATCACACGTGTGATATTCAGTGAATCACCCTTAGTTCGCGAAGTATTGTTTTAGAAATAGAGGAGAAATGTGCTTTTACCCAAATGAAGAATCAAACCGAGTTTTCATCTTGACAAGGGAACACTTTACCCTCTGAACTACCCCATCTCCACAGCCCTTTAGTTTGAACTGAATCATAGTATAGGCCTTGGTGTGTAAATCTGCAACGGTAATTGGATGTTACATTAACATCATTCTTTACTCAAACAACGGATGCCTCGAAATGGTTAAGTTGCGTTTTCGTAATGTACCTGTTTCAGTCCGCCTAAACTCTAACTCAATAAAATTTAAGCATATATTTTTAAACAAAACACAAACACCAGCTATCGAGACCAGTGCCGTTTATTTCAGTGGAACAACTGAAGTTTACAATCAGAAACTCAACACATCATCAGGGCACGGGACTCGTGGGGTGAAATATACAAACATCGTGACACTTCCTTGTATTATACTGAAGTACTATGTGATATACAAGGATGACGTCATGCATTGCAGCCATTTTGTTCTCTCTGGGATTGACTCACATAAGTCATGTGACTGAACAAGCGTACAGCTCAGATATTCTTGCCAAATAGCTTACAATGGTAATTAAGTTCGAGAAATTCACAGGGTAATTGTATCACTGGGTCTTAATTATGTTGTAGTGTTTCACAATATCAAAGGTTTGACTGGTATGTACGATATCGATTTGTTATACGAATAAGAAGAAAGATTAACAGGACCGAGTTGTTATTCAATAGGTACGATTTTAGAATATTAATTTATGACGTTTCGGACACATTTGAATCTATTTCCATGGTCAATTTAATGCGGTCAGTGACAAGCGAGTGCTGGACACGTCATATGCTTTGACCATGCTGAAGAACAGACCTATTAATCACTAACAGGTTACCGTGTGTTTACTGCATACTGGTATGCTATTAATGTGTGTGTTCAATGTTTGTATAGGTCAGCCCGGTTTGTCATACGGTTAAAGGAATGATAGGGGAGAAATAACATAGAAACATCACCTTAAAGTATTAAGATATTAGTATTAAGATATTAGTATTAAGATATAAGTATTAAGATATAAGTATTAAGATATAAGTATTAAGATATAAGTATTAAGATATAAGTATTAAGATATAAGATAGCATATGATAGATTCTGCTGAGTGTGCAGACTTTAAGAACAACTAGCGAAGATGGGCGACATTGTCGACTTCACACACGACGGGTTGAGGTCACTACAGAAACACAGTGGCCAACAGCGAGAGCACCAGTGACGTCATCACAAAGGTCACGTGGTCTGCAGCACCTGAAAAGAGAATGTCCAAATTTGGATTAGATCATCATCTGATATTAAGGACAAGCAAATTACTGTATGTTTCATCAATGTCCGAGTTATGACATAAAATTGAAAGTGAGTGAGTAAGGTTTTACTGCGCTTTGAGCAATATTCCAGCAACATTACGACGGACAATTCGCCACCACTCGCCCCTTTCCGTAACCCGGAATAACACGAGTTGATCACGAATGCACGGCGGACGACACGAGTATCGAACTTGGGTCTTTAGTCGTAACGAGCGAGCGCTTCAACCACTGGACTACCCCACCGCCCCATAAAAATCAAAGATAACACTGACACTGAGCGGACGTGTACTTGGTGCCTGTGCTGGTGACTAGTGCGGCATGGGTTACAGCGGTACATCCGGGCTCTGTGGTGTTTGTGATGAGGGACAGGCAAGTTCTCAGGGTTGTCAGGACACTGTATCACAAAGACGATATTCAGAAATAACAACGAACGATAACATGGAGATTAGAACATTAAAGTTATTTCGATACATTAGACCTTCACTACATGGGTGTCATTTGAGCCACCCCAACCCTTTGCCCCCTCCCCCGCAACAATATTTACCGTTCGAAATCAATGTCGGTCTCTAGGCCCGAAGCCGACTGAAAACCACTCGGAGCCACAGCTTTCGTTTTCTGCAGGTCCTTATGGCAGGCCTTCTGCTGGCCGACAGCATTTTTATCCCCAATAAGTGACATATCCCTGTATGTACATTCTGATTCCGACTTTTCAGAAGACTTGGATATTGACATGGACGTTGATTTGGTGTTAATGAAGACAAGTCAGGGAGTAAAATTTATCTTTTTAACTCAGTTTGTTAGTTGTCACATTTTGTGTTTGCTGGGAATTACTTATATTGTAGCTAAAATATAGAGCCTACACATTCTGATCAGAATCCATAACTTTTTATGGTTCTAGGTCCTTAGGGCCTGCAGCGTTTCAAAGTTCGAATACACAGACAACTTCCGATTGTGTCCAAGCTTGGTCCCTTCGTATTCATATACTTTTCGGTTGAGTTGAACCTCGGATAACTCGAAGTATTTCCGTAGGTCTCTCCAACTTCGAAACAGTGGTGTTTGACTGTAGCAGATTATAAACTTAAAAAGTAGCTTTTAAATTCTACATAGGACATAACGGTTCTTTAAAGTCGTGCTTACTTGCAGTATTTGGTACTGTCGCTGTTGTCGCCCTTGGCAGCGTCAATCTCACACTGGCAAGTACTGGTCGGAGCTGGAGTGGAAAGCAACATAAAAGTATAAATGTGGCATGGTTTTAAGCAGTCCTTCAGCTTTATCGGGCCGGCTTAAGGCAGTCCGTATTTTCCAGCGTTTCTCCCGTCTGCTCTGAATTTTCATACCGAAGTGAAATAATGAAAGTTTTCATAAGTATTCTTATCTCAATTCCCCACCGCTGTGGACATTAATGCCCTAGTATGGAAACATCAGATATTCTTACCCTTGCACACAAATACACAACCTGGTCAGCCTGATTTTTCTTTGTCAGTCTCTACATTTGTAAAGAAAAATGTTTCCGAAGCAACGCGACTGGACTATTATAAATTTTGAAATTTTATGGAATAGTAAAAAATGTTTTTTGTTTATATTTTTTCCACCAGCCTGCTCCCTTGCTAAAGAGTTTTGAGATGAATAACACACTACGGATGTCCCACGGATGGCAAGTCTACATGGCCTGTTTAACATTGTCCAGCGTGTAATAAGTGCTACGTCTGGTTCTGAGAAGGGTCTGAGTAATATGAGTCTTCCTGACCATTCACTATAAGAGGTAAACATTATCCGATTTTTAAGAGAAGACAAACGAAATTGTTGTTAATTAGTTCAATCAATCTTTCTCGGACTATCACGAGAGACCCAGTCCAACTAAGACGAGTGCATGAATGGTGCAGGCAAACCAAGAGCCATATTATGAATTAACCTGGGATTTGAGTGAACTATCTTTGTACGACTGACTGACTGAGTTTGATTTTACGCCGCTATTAGCAATATTCCAGCAACATCACAGCGAAGGACACCAGAAATGGGCTTCACACATTGTACCCATGTGGGGAT